TTATGATAGAGACTTTTTAAACATATCAGTAGGTCAATAAATCCATGCTGTTAATAGGGTAGTACTTAAGCCTTTATGGGAGGGTTTTCTTTGGATGGTGTATTATTGCTATAAATGCTGCAACTGAAGAGATTTTACCCACGATTGGTACTTTTAACATGTTGATCTGTCAAACAAATAAGGGATTTTTAGACTTTTCTATTCAAAATAAGAATTAGTTGGGTTGAACTTTATGATTTCTTGAAATTCAAACCATCTTCCTTGCTATTTTCTGTTCCTCCCCATGTTTTCTGAGGTGTTGGTTTTCATATCTGGGCCTTGTTATTTACTTTATCTTTCCCTGGAATGTCTCCACCAACACTCTCTACCTAGCAAAAACTCCACCTTCTAGCCCAGTTCCTTTATGATGTCCTTCCACATAATCCACTTTAGTTTCCCTAATCCATTGTCATCTCCCTTTTTAGAAATTCTCAAGAATGGTACGCCTTGTCATTCATTGCTACTATGACCTCATGGCTGTCTAATGTGGTTTGCTGCAGGAGCTCTGAGTGCCTCAAGAACCAAAGGCAAGATTTTCTTTCCATCTCAATCTTCCATTTCTCTTTGTGCAGCCTGATCAGGTGGAAAGAGCCAGGTATATTCTGAATGCTTCTTTGCTTGAATTGCCAGAGTGCAGATAACATAACATGAACAATTTCCTGCTTTTGTACAGCAATTTACAAATTCCAGAGCAGTTCTACAAACATTATTTTCTTGAATAGTATGGGAACCATGGACAGTAAAAACTCTTATTTTCCTATAATTAAAAAGAGATACTGGGACTCTGATTAAGGAAATATCCCATAGTTATAGTCAGCAAATGAAAACCTAGAAATAGATATTAGAGTCTCTAAAACTAAGTCCAAAAGTGTTTTGATTACACATTTTAAGATATATTCCTCTGTCCTTATTGGATTAATTCTAAATGAAAGAAGGAAAATAAGAAACAAGGCTATAATTATTTTAAAAGTTTCTACAGATTACCTTCGTCAGAACATTCTAGATTTTTTAATTTAAAATTGAGCTCCCCAATTCTCCACAGAAACCTGGTGAATTAGATCTGTTGGAACAGAGCCTAAGAATCAATATTCTATATCAAAATTTACTGATATGGAAAACCTCAGCGATTGAGACAAAATGTCTGGGCGGTTATAATTTACTACTGTATGAGTCCAAAAAGTGAATGAATATTTTCCTTTGCAACTCTATCACTTAGAACAAACATTCTGAATTTCGATTTTCTCAATATTCCATCTCCTCCATCACTTGCAAGGATTATTTTCATGAAATGTATATAAAACAGATGTACAATGCCTCGTAAAACTTATCAATACATTTAATTGTAGCCATCAATCCCTAAGGTATGATTAAACGTCATAAGTTAGAGGGCAAAGGGTACAGCGTAGAGCAGAAAGCCACAGGTGACAGAATATTATATTTTTCCAATGCAAGGGACATGTTATTTTAAGAGCACATATCCATTATTAATAAAAAGTTTTCTACTTTCTCTTTGTATATATATGTGCAAAACCAAGTTGGACTAAAACTAGCACTGTTACTAGAAATGCAGCTCCTGAGACATGGGGAATCCTCATTTTGTGAACAAATTCAGAGAGAAGGTTCTACTACGATCATGGATGCATGGAAATGCCAATTTGATGGGAAATAGCTCGGGTGTGCGTGGAATGGGTTACATATAGAATGCAGAATGTCCAGGGTAGTTAACTGTAAAGCAAAGACAAGACAACGCAGGAGAGAAGAAGACTACAACAAAGGTCCAAGGGCATCCTGAATATCTCAGTGTAAGATAATTCATCAGTAACACCAACACTCATGAATGCATTTATAATATTGTTAATATGTCACTTTTTAGGTGTCTGTATGTGTATACACACATAGATACACATAGAAATGCTTTTTGCTTGTTTCCAAAGTTATAATCCATTCAACTACTCTTTATCAAATGCCTATAGTGCCCCAAAATACAGTTTTAGCCCATTATTTTTCATTAATATCTTATTTCCTGTTATGTGACCTGCATTGTGTAATATGCTGTATAGACGAAAGCAGGTTGTATTGGACTACATAATTCACTCCAGTTCCAATCATGTATACAATGCTTATTTGGGGGTTCCACCCAGTAACAATCGTGGCTTCAGAATGTGTTGTTTCCAGAGTCTTCTGACATCATTCAGGCATGCTGATTGTACATCAAATATGTCTGGGCTTAATAAGGCTAAATCACATATAAGCTCAAGTTCCTCTTTGCTATTATGTTTAAACAAAAATAGCCATGTTATTTCCAGATCCAATCAGACCACAGGAAAAGCTACCACTTCTTGCCAAGTAGCAAAGGACAGATTGGTAAGAACAGAGTGGGAAAAAAGACAAAACTTACTTTCCCTCTTAAAACAAACAAAGCAAGGAGTCCAGTTGGAAGGCAAGTGGCAATGCTTTATGGACTGGGATAAGGCAGATGCCAACTTCCCCATGGCTTGATCCTGTCTAATCAGACAACAACACCTACTAATACCAGACAATACTGACTGTATTAGTTAGGATTCTCCAGAGGAAAAGAATAAATAAGGTGTGTGTATATATGCTTGTGTGTGTGCGTGTTTATGTGTGTGTGTGTATATCTAGAGAGAGAAACAGAGACAGAAACAGAGATCTATCAAAAGGAAATGACTGACACAATTATCAAGACTTCAAAGTCTCAAGATCTGTAGCTGGCAAACTAGAGACCCCTGAGAGCCTATTTGTAGCTCTGGTTTGAGCTCATAGGTCTGAGAACCAAGGGAGCGAATGATATAGTAAGGTCCAGCCTAAAAGCTGGCAGGCTTAAGAAGAGCTGATGTTTTAGTCCTAGTTTGAAAGCTGGAAAAGAGCATTGTCTTGGATAATGTAGTCAGATAGGAGAAGTCACCTCTGACTCAATCTTTTTATTCCATTCAGGTCTTCAATTGATTGGATGAGGCCCACCTACTTTAGGGAGAGCAATCTGCTTTAGATTAGATAGATTCTAATCTATCTGTAAATTCAAATGTAATCTCATTCAGAAACTCAGAAACACCCTTGTAGACATACACAGAATAATTTTTGGTTAAACATCTGAGTACCTTATGGTCTAGTCAAGTTGGCACAAAAACTTAACCATCATACTGACCTGGAAGTCAAGGTTTCAAGCAAATTGGAGACTTAGTAATTTGCTGTAAATCCCCACTCAGGACAGATATCCTTTTTTTTTTTTTTTTTTTTTTCCTCTGCAAGTGAATGTCATCTAGATTTTGCATGTACATCTCACATTATACTTTCTCAGGTGGACCATTATGATTTGGAAATTTAGACAGAAATATATATTAACATTTGATCTAGTCATTTTCATATTTCTATACCTTTGTTCAAATGCTTCTTTAGCATGGAATGCTTCCCGAACTAAGTCTTTTCCTTTGAGTCTTCTGTCATCAGGCAGTTACCAAAGCCTCTGCCTTCAGGGAGCTCACTCTAGTAAGAAAGGCCAGCAATGACTGCACAAGGGAAGAGCCATTAAATAAAAATGTGCAAACAGGTAGCTAAAGAAGTCATTGTGAGCAGAGTTCCTACATTCCATTCTTGCTGTAAGCAGACTGACTTGATCTAATCACTCTATGAACTAGCACCCTGTGTGCATTTTATATTGCATTAGACACTGGATAGAAACATAAATTCTGAACATGGATGATTATAACACAGGTGGAGAGATGAGAAAGACGGCATTGCAAATGCAGCAGGAGCTGCCTAAGATATATGAGAAGCAGTCAGTGGGTGGTCAGGCTGAAGGATCTGGGGAGGAGGAAGTCATCAGTGAATGCAAGTAGTTGAGAAGGACTTTGTGCCTTCATCCTTAAAGGATGGGTATTGTTTAGCTTCTTTTGAAGGAGAAGTACAAATTTCTAAGGAGAGTCTATGTAAAGGAATGAAGGTGGGAATGAGTAGTTCTCTTCAAGATCTTTGAATGGTCACACTCACTAGGATGCAGGCTTCTGAGCTTGGAAGGTAAATTACTCACAATTAAGAAAATGCCTCAGTCCAGACAAAATCAGCCTCCAAAAAATTATAAGAAAATTCTGCAGAAGTTTCTTGGGTCTAGGGATTTAAAGTATTTATTTACCCAGACTGTAGGAGTTGTTCAGGCAGATATGAAACTTGCCTTCACACAGCTGTCCCCCTAATGGGCTACATCAGGTCCCCAGTGGCTACCTCTTGGGATGAACAAAGATTTCAGTCTCTTTCTCCACACCAATTTTCACACTCCCACTGCTAAGCGGGGGGGGGGGGGGGGGGGGGGGGGTGCAATTAATGTTGCTGCTGACAGTTATTCTACTTTGGGGCAAGGCCCTTGGGATGAAAACTTTCACTGGGCTACCCAAGAGTTGGATCTGAATTTGCAGGAATGAGCTACTGGAAAGGAAAAAAAAAAGCTCTAAAGAGCTTTTGGCATCTTAGAAAATCTCTAGAATTAAAAGAAAATCTCTTTTTACCTTTTAAATTATTTAAAAGCAATTATTGAGTATACAGCAAGTGCCCATGTCCATTCTGGATGCTATAGTGTGGACATAAAAGAAAAGCAAAAACGTAAAAAGAAGATATGCAGCCTGCTTCCAGGAAATTAGAATTCCAATTTGAAGAAGAGGTTAGTGATTATAATGCTATGCCTCAAACAGGGTAGGTGCCTTAAAAGTCTTTGTTAAATAAGTCATTGGGTAGAATACAAAACAAGCATGTAAGAGAATAGAACTATGTAAAAGATTTAAAAGATCCTCAACAGTTTACTTAATACCAAATTGTTAACACTGTCCCCACTTCTTCTCTTATATATTTTCTGGTACTGGTTCTCTCTTGTTATATGAACATTTAAGTGATCAAAATATTGCACACATTCTTTCTCCCCCCGCCCCCTGCAGAAGCCGCCTGTACGAGTGTTCGCTATGAGAAGTAGATAAGGACAATTAGTTTGTGCCTCACGTCTAGTTATCATTCAGCTGAGCTGGCTGCTGAAGCTTCACGTTTGCACGTAACACTCCTGTACATATCTCCTTTTTTAATTATTTCTACAGGTTTTAATTTGTAAACTGTCATGTGAGATTTGGGGATGCATTTTGCCAGAATAACTGATATGATTGCAACAGCAAATTACAGCTATACCTGAAGCTTTTTTCAGACAAAAAATTATTACATATTTCTAGTGTTGGGGAGGAAAAGTCTCTAGACCAAGCTTCTAAGCAAACACAACAATTCTGTTCTCCTGGAAATTGATATATTCAATTAAATGCTCACAATCTGGTTAGCTTTCAATAAACACCATTTAAATCTGAGACCCTCACTGTTATAAGCATGACGCCAGGTAATGAAGCTTGTATCATTGTTGCTCTCAAGATTTTCATCCTGTAATATGCAGCTTTCAAAACTCTTATCTTTGAGCTCAGAAAGCAATTTGACTAACATTAGAGGGCCCTTGCAATAAATATAATCATTATTTTAATTTGATACTCCTTGTAGTCAAACCTTTTTATTTATATTCCACTGAATTGAGAAGAGGTGGGACTAACATTTTTTAAAAAGTTTTAAAACTCCCTTTTCCTTATGGAAAGATTGAGAAATATGACATAGTTACAGCAGGTATGCTTAAAAGCACAAGAGAACAAACTATTTTTAGAAATGTTGATTGTTAATAAACTCTGAAATTTCAGACTGTCACAAGCACAAATGTAATTAGAATTACTTTTAGTAATAATTTATAAAGATAGATCTGCTATACATTCAAATACATGTAGGTAGGTATATATACGTGTTTATGTGTGTGTATACATACATATACATGCTAATTATAAATAATTTTAAGCTAAAGAATATTACATGTACAAAATAATACTAATGATTTCTATGTCAGAAAGATTAAGGTCCAGTTATCATAAGTACTTGAAAGTAATGGAATTGAATCAAACTGTCCACAAGTCTGACTTCATTAATTCACGATGTCTTGCCCTCTAACTAGAGTGAATTAATGTTTTTGTTCTAGTGTATTTAATCAAATGCTGAAGAAGCAAGACAGAAGATAGGATGGAGAAGGAAAAGGGAATGCAGACAACTTTTACTTAATATTTTAAGTGTGAAGTCACAGCTGTCAGTTCTCATTGACATTTTCCCATATTCTGCTTAATTAGTGTCTTTATTGCCATAAACGGAGTCTGTTTCTTCTTGCTAAATAAAAACTGGTAGAGAAAGTTATTTAATCTGAAATTTTGTCTTCCTCAAAAAAGATGTTAACCAGTAAGTTTAGCATGCTCTCTTTTCTCATTGTGATCTGCTAAGCATTTTGGCATACACATGTTTATTCTAAGTAAGGAATCATGAACAACCTTGAGATTCACACCATGGAATTGTCACTAAAGGGACACCATTAGAAGTTTCAAGCAAGGTCATGGATTCATTTCATTGTCATTTTAACAAGGCATCCCTGACTTCATGACGGCAAGGAGAACAGCTAAAAGTCTGGGTGCACCTGGCATAGGTAAGTTATTTAATGCTTTGTAAAAAAACTGAGGGACTGAACCAATACTGAGAAAGTATTGGAAATGATGGTGAAGAAACATATTATATATATGCTTACGATTCATAACTAACAAGATTGTGACTCAGTGTATGCAGGGCATGAGATTTGAGTACTTATTTGCTAAGTTTCTGGTTGTTCTAACTTGAGACACTACGTAGACATCAATGCTTTACTCATATGAGAAATAAAGAAAGTCTTTGTGTAAACTTACCATCAAGACTGAAAAAGTTTCCACTTAACCTCTGTGCCCTACCAAGATTGCCCAGGAGCCCAGAGGCATGTTCAAGTACTGATTTCAATCAGTGAGTACTTATTGTATGCTAGAGACTACATTATGGAATTACTTATAAAGCAGTAGCGACCAACAAATGTAGACGGTTAGGTACTTTTAATTTTTCGTATGGATGAAACAAAAAGAATTGTAGAAATGTGTTCAGGTGGTACCAGGATCAGGAGGAGCTTTATGCAAGAGCTGAAATTTGAAATAATTTTCAATACGCTAAGAGGAGCAGCCTCCTAAGTAAGCATAGGCCCACAAGCAAAGGCTGTGTGGTACTCCGGGCCAGAGCAGAACTTTAAATCAGGGGACACCTGGGCATGGATTCTGGCCCTTTCTCTCTAAGCATCCCTGTTCTGGTGTCTGTTATGAACAGAAGCTTCATAAATAAAAGCAGAACAACAGTGTCTTTAGTGTGATTGCTGCATAAAACACCCCACCAAACAGAAGCAAAGACTGGTTAGCCTGTTCAAAAGAGAGGTCAATAAGTCCATGAATACAGAGGAGTAAAGGGCCCGAGGCTGTATAATTATGATATATGCACTTTTCAGTATGTATGTTATATTTCAATAGAAAGATGTAAAAAGTATTCCAGCGTGGATGATGAATTACATGGTCTCTAGGAAGGCAAGGACTGACACTTACAGATCACCATATAGTTTAGTACTTAATGGAATAGGCTAATTTTCCTAACGAATTAGCCCATTTTCCTGTCATTCCTTCTCTTCTATCCACTACGGTTCAAACCATATTCTATGATCAGAGCTTAGTAAATGCCTATTGAATTGACTTTTACTACTTTAAACATTAAAAAAAAATCTGGAAAATAAGAAATATAGTAGGAGAGTTAAATACTAAAATCAAATTGTTTCAAACATTAATACATGGAGCTACTTTTCTTACCATGCTGTATTCTAAATTTTACTAAGGTGTCCATGAGGCAATGATTTGTTTCTTATTCCATCCATGTTCCTATGCTTAGATCAACAATACTAGAAATGTCTCAAAAAAGTGCATTTTGTGAGTTTCCAGTGACTTACTTGCCCACTCATCTCATTATCTGGCAGGCTGTTTGTCTTTCCTTTTTTCTCTCATCTAACAAATGTAAAACCTCCAGGGTTTTCTATACATATCCTTTTTAAAAATGTTTGTTTCTATTAGTATGTGGGTACATGTTTCTCTAAAATATAGCCAGAACCCATTAGAATATGCTGTCAGTGGTAGAATTTTGTGTCATTTCCCTTTCGACTTGAAAAATAGCATTTTGAAAAAAATATTTTTCATACATGACATTTTTCTCCCTATTCATTTTGATAGCACCACCTGCTTCGGGAAATATATATTTTCCACAAACCACTCAAATGAACTAATCCATTTTCACTATGTGTCCTTTTTGGCAAAATATCTACAGAATTTTCTTTCATAAAGATAAATTCTGTTGCTTTGCTTCTATCTTTTTTTTTTCCTATCTCTTTCTTTATAAAAGCAAATGATTTTTTTTTCTCGTATGGAAATACACACAAAAATGAAATAGTAAAAACAATTAAAACCAATGAGTGAAATGCTAATTTTGGACAAATATATTTTAATCTCTCTCTCTTTTTATCACTTTTTAAAAAATTTGTAAATGAAAAGTTGAAGGCAAATGTCCCTCAAGTTTTATTTTCTAAAGATTCTGTGATTTTTTGCTCATGCTATTTTACCTGGAATCAGAGGTATAGATAACGTGGGCTTCTTGATGTTCTAATGCTGGTATGGTCAGGTGTTATGTAATATGTGCAACTAGTGGTACCATCAAACTTGTAGGTAATTTTCCCATGTCAAAAAGAAGTTGGGATCCTCTTTTTGGAATTTTAGGTGTCCTAATTAAGGAGAAGGAATCAAGAGACGGGAGATAGGGTAGGAATCAAGTAGACTGTATTTCTTACAGACCGTGCAAAGGGGTTAGTCATTCATAAAGTCTTCTTTGATAAGGATGCGCAGATGGTCTCCCTGGGAGCCTACTCCCAGGCTGGATTCCAATAACTAAAAATTCACCTAAAAGTTTTCTATTTAGAGTGGAAAAATGTCAAAGGAAAAGAAGCCTACACCTCATTGTGGACTTAAGGTTTCTGAGTTTTAAGTAATGTATTTAAGAAAAGGGCAAATCTCCATTTACCTTGAGATTTGAGAGGATTAATTTTAGTGAAACTACCATACATTATGTACATATGTGTGTGTGTGTGTGTGTGCAGCTTGTGTATATGTATGTAGATGCACATGTGTATATACATATATACAAACATACATGTATACATATATATATACACACATATGTATTTTTATGTATACACATACATTTTAATGCATTTTATCCATCAGTAAAGATGGATACAAGTGACACCTTCTTTGGGTATAGAGCAGAAATTGTAAGTTCTAGATGGATACAGAATGAGCACATAATATTACACTTGACAAGTCCATTTTTAGAATCATCTTGTGGTGCAGAGCCTACCATCTCATAGGCATTTGGACAATTTTAATTCTGGAATACCAACCAATGCTTGGAAAATAGCATAGAGGCTTATGTTTAAATCTAACATTGCTCAGGTATTTCCTGTTGTGGTGACATGAGCAGCATCACTTCTGATAGTGTCCCAGCTTCCTGGTAAGGGCAGTGGAGAAGGAAAGAATGAGGGGGAAAGTGTCCACTGAGCATTTACCCATGAACATGCTAAGCCTTTTATATGCATTGCCATTTTTTAAATATCACTATCTCAGAATGTGGGTGTTATTATTAACTCTACTTCAGGAAGGAAGAGGTATAAAAGAGCTAAATGATAGTCTCAAGGTCACATGTTGCTAAATGTCATACACTGGAATTAAACACATGCAGCTTGACCATAAGACTTGAGGGTATAGCAACTTCTCCAAACAGCTTTTCTTTTCCCTGTTTCCTAAGCCAAAATCAGTGTAAGGGAGATTGACTTCCAATCAGGATTTTGGAGCTAATTTCAACATGGGTACCATTAATCCCTCCACTGGACAACTTTATGCCCACTTGCTTATTCAATGCTATTGGCAGCTAGCGAAGTAGGGCCCCAGCTGTGGTACAACACAACTGTTCAGTGGCAGGCTTCTGTTAGAACTGTGATCATTGGTATATTTTAAAATGCACTGAACCACGCATTAGAAGTCCTGGGCCCTATTTTTTTTGCTACCGTGAACTACTTTGATGACATTAGATAAGGCATCTAATTTCTCTCATTTGGCTTTCTCATTCATAGAACACAGAAATAATATAACCCCCACTATTTTCAAATGAGGTGTTTTAAACCAATGACAGAGAATGTGCATAATCAAAGATAGCAATTTCTATCAGTTATGATCTCTGTTTTACCAATGAGGTAAGCAACCAGAGAGATAACTAATAAGGTAACAAAGCAAATTAGCAGCAAATATAAGGATGAAAGGTGGTGAGGGTTATGAAGAACAAATCTTTTAAACTTTTTTCTTTTTTTTTTTGAGACAGGATCCTGCTCTGTTACACAGGCTGAAGTGCAGTGGTGTAATGGCACATCATAGCTCACTGCGGCCTCAAATTCCCAGGCTTCAAGCAATCCTGTCAGGCTAATTTTTTTTTTTTTTAATTTTTGTAGAAATGGCATTTCCCTATGTTGCCTAGGCTGGTCTCAAACTCCTGGGCTCAAGCAATCCTCCCACCTCTGCGTCCCAAAGTGGTGGGATTACAGGCATGACCCACAGTGCCCAGTTAATTCCTTTGAACTTTTAGTTCAGTGCGTCATCAACACATCATATTACTCACTGAAGCCTGTTCTATTTCTGTGGGTTTAAATGAGAAAACTGGCAAAACCTATGTTCTAATCAACTATTACCAGTCCAGTCACTTTTCAAAATATTTAACAAATGTTAGAAGATGTAATCCTCTATGGCTATCCAAAAGCAGAATTACTTTAATTCCTTTAGGTGGAAAGTTTGTGGCACTCTAACGAGAACTTCACCTGAATGATGATTTCTTGCAGTTTATACACCCCCACCTTTTTTTTTTTTTTTTTTTTTTTTTTTTTTTTTTTAGCTTAGATTGAGGTCAGTTCGGTTCTGGGATGAAGACACCACTGCTGCTTGCTGTTCTTGAATATGCCTCTAAGTGGGATTTTCCCAAGAGCTTTCCCTTAAAGAAAACCAGAACAGAGGGCTGGTTTTAGAAGTGGCTGCTGCACAGCATGGGAGAATCACAGCCTCTGGGGACAGGTCTCACCACAGGCTATTATTAGAACTGAGCTGTGAGTTTGCAAATGGAAAGTGAGACTCTGCTTGCATATACATGCACACTGTGGATGCCCAGGTGTCAACGAGTGAAAGAACTCGCAGATGACTCCTTGAACAGCATCTGTCTTCCTCTGTTCACTGGGAAGGTGTGCTACCACACTTCTATCTGCTGAGCTTGAGGAAAAAAAAAATTGTTTCAGAGTAGGCAGTTGCTGTGGAGCTACAGTAAGACAGGAGCAGGGGAACATCTCAGGGTGAATTTCCACTGAGGCAAAGCAGAAGACTGGGGAGGCAGAAAAAGCATTAAACAGACTGACATGACAACTGGGTTCCTGTGTGCGTGACTGTGGCCAGATGACTATGTTTGTACATTCATCTGGAAAATGGACAAAACAGACTAGACCAACAGAATTCTAAGTTCCTTCCTAGAACTAAAACTATAAATTCATATATCATCTTGCTATATATTAGAGTCTTTATATTGGTATTCAGACTTTTATCTACCAGTGGTGGCACAGACACCTCCTAATGCAATCCTTAGTCACCCAATATGTCTCTTTATCTTACCATTTTTGTCAGTTTGATGACTGCAAAGGTCCTTACCAAATTTAGGATTTTCCAACCCTTTGGTCTACAGTTTAGCAATCGTGCATATGCTGTATGT